TGGTCTGGGCATGGATGCTCTGGTCACCGTAGGCTCTCGAAACTACGAACGTCGTTATGGTTTGGGCATGGATGCTCTGGTCACCGTAGGCCCTCGAAACTACGAACGTCATTATGGTTTGGGCAAGGATGCTCTGGTTACCGCATGCGCGGCATGGTTTGGCCATGGACGAAGTCCCAATACATATACAGTATTGTTTTTAAATCAGGTCACGAGCCATAGAACGCCCAAGTAAACTCTAAACCCTAAAATCTTGAAATAAACCTTCAAATCTCAAAAATGCCATAAATCGCCACGGCGTTCTATGACCCGTTGACCAACTACTAGATGCGTTTCAACCCGCTTAGCCTCTGCAAAACTGACACGAAAGCCTAAAGTGGTCTTCTCCAGATTAGAGACTATCGTCCCTTACTGTCCTGAAACCCTAAAACCTAAACAAAACGCGAACTAGCCCCTAATCCCATACTGTCCTGAATTGTGGCATCTGTATGGGTTTCCGTGTTAGTGTTGAGACGGTTGCCAGTCCAGCAAACATGTTTTACCTGAACTCTACCGCGTAAACCCGAAACCATGAAACCCCAAGCCCCAAGCTCCTAATTAGCCCTAGTAGGACTTCAAGTTCCCGCGACCTACACCTCAGAAACTTAAACCCTAAACCGAAACCACCAAGCCGCCAAACTCGTTACTAAACCCTAAGCCCAGAAAACTCTTGACCTCTCAACCCCGAACCCTACGCCATAAACCTTCAAAGTCCCTAAACCATAACCCCTATAGCCGAAGAAACCAATAAATCCCTAAACCACTGAAATCCTAAGTTTTTGCTCGGCCAAGGCCAGCGCGTGGCTGTGCTCGGGCCAAATGTACGATTTGCCCAAAATCCTGAGGACTGATTCGGCACATCAGGGTTTGGAGTTAAGGGGGATTCCTAAATTCAAGGTAATACGGATCCCTGCAGTAGGACTCTTATTCTAATGCGGAGCCCGAGACAATTTTGTTTGCATTTTGAGAACAGTAGTCTAGGCCAGCTCCCGCATAAGGATATACCTATATGGGATCCTTCTAAAGGCGATTGAAGTAGGGGTTTTAAACGAGCATATAGAGAAATATAGGGCTTAGGGTGTTCAATGGGCAATCAAACGCAACATGATATGGAAACTGTGGCTTCATATAGGCGGGTATCAATAGGGTTAGCAAATTTTGTAGCCTCTTGTAAAAGGAGCGTAGGCTTTTTTTGAGGTGCCATGTTAGTTTGGTGAAGAATGTGTACTCCAAACCTTGTACACTATACAGCCTTGTGTATCTCTCTTCGATCCCCTCCCCCTTCTCCAAAAGGAAGTAGGGTTTAGGGTTAAGGGCGCCAGTGGCTCACATGGCTCACATGTGATCAGTACCCCTGTGCAAATATGGGTCTCAAGGGCTCGGGATTGATACGGTTTGGGGTCTCCATTGTGTTCTGCTTGTGCGGATACATGCGGCGGCAGGGCGGGGCAAAGCTCAAACGTAGCTTCCAAAGCCTGTTCGATGTACCTATGCTATGCATGGGGATCGCTCGACTACGGGTCCTTATGTTGGAGGTCTTATATATACTATAAAGCAGGTGCACATACCATTTTCTCCATCTCGGGAACGGTGATCTAGGGCAACCCCATCAAATGTATGGGTCCCAATGTTATACGTGATCTTGGTTTGTGGACAACTTGTACATATCCCTACAATATCATTCTTGTGGGTCCCCTTTCATAGTTATAGAGAGCACCGTGCTGTTGTATCCCAGAACTGATCCGTTGCCTGCGTGGCTTCAAAGCATCTACATGCTGTCGTACCACATGTCATGCTCAACCCAAAGGGTCCAAAGTACCAATATGGTACAAAGTATGGTTTCTGTAGTTGTAATTTCCCTTATGGTTGGGGTAAGTAGTCCCCATATGGGTACTTAGGACCCTTTGGGCAACAAGGCAAGGCAAGCCAAACCGGGCTCCCAGAAACTGGAGCGCCCACAGTGGCAACTGAAGGGCCGGCAGTGGCAACTGAAAATATTGGGATAATGGAAAATAAAATGGAATCTACTATAGTATATTGGGGCTATATTGGGATAATGGAAACTAAAATGGATACTACTATAGTATATTGGGGCTAAAGAGGCGTCTGAAATGCCGCCGCCAGCTACTGTGCCGGTCAAATGCGGTGCAAGACCCAACAGGCCGTCGCAGTTGAGGAGAGAGTACAGTATGAGCATGGAACGCATGGCGGACAAGCTGGCGTCATCCACTGCGCAGGTAGCGGCGCAACAGCAGCTGGTGGACAGCCTCCAGGCACAGCAACAGGTCGCCAACAACACGCTGCAGGAATGGAAGGACAGCAACTGTGCAGTGTGGTCTATTATCATAAGTTTTGATCCTGAAATGCGCGAGAAATTGGGCAGGGGTGGGGGGGGGGGTCCCAACATCAGGGGTACCTTAGTGGTGTTCCCAGACATAAGGATTGTAATATTTTGGGGTCTATATTGGGATCCCCTACCAATGAAGGACCATGGTAGCTTGAACGACGTGTTTTGACCAAAGCGATCTGCCTGGCCTTTCTGCTGACAAAATCTTATCTGTGATATTTCTCAACTGCTATAAGGTTGGCGAACTTTGCAGAGTCCAGCACCAGATGCTCCAAACTAATCTGTGGCAAAGTGGGCTCAAGCGCTTCCTACCACCGAATTATCCTGGTTGCATCAAAGAAGCTGATGGCCTTTTGGACTTTCTTCTCATGACAGATTCTTCCTTTGCAAACGCGGTATTCCTTGTGTTACTGTTGCCATCCGCTACACTTGGCCCATCGAGGCCCTACATGCGAATTTCATCAACCTGTTCTACACGCCATGTAAACCTTAAACCCCATTAAAACTCATTAGCCCCATTAAGCCCCATTAAGCCCATAAAACCCCATTCAACCCCAATAAAACGGGCGACTGCCGGGATGAGGATCTGCGGAAGATGGTCTCCAGCGTGGAGCACAAAATCCAGGCACCATGATGCGCACTGATATATAGGCATGATAAAGGGATATACAAGGATTCTGCAGGGTTATGTCTGGGTTAAAAAGAAAATGGAAGCTACTATTTAGGGTTTGGGATTTCAGGGCCTGGGGGATTAGGTGTTTGAGGCTGTTGGTGTAGGGGTTCAGGTTTAGGGGAATTCGGGAATTCGAGACTTAGTGCATAGAGGCTGGGTAGTAGCGTGGTGTTTCAGATTTTGTGGGGTGTAAGGTTTCGGGCATCTAGTTTCAGCGGTTTAGGTTTTTTGCGGGCCTGAGTTGTCCTAGTTTAGGGATCCATGGGTTTCGGGTCAGTTGATGGCGTATCAAACCAAGCCCCATGCCTCCCTGGAAATGGTTACCGTGTCATGGGTACCCTGAGTGGTGCAGCATTTGCTATCAGCGGTGGGGCCTAAAACCTAAACCCTGTTGCAAGGTCGAAAAGTGAGGACAAATGTATCTGTCTTGGGTGCGGTCTCTATCTAGAGAGGTTCTACCTGGACCCTAAAGTATGTAAAATAATTGCCTTTATGGCTGTTATTATAGGTTTAGGGCTATTCTTTTACATAGTTTGGGGGTTTAGGTACAGACGTTGAGTTGTGGGGCATTGAGGGCTGTAAGCTTACGTTGGTCCGTAGTCCTTTCCCTGACTCTAGTATAAGATTTCCCACGACCCATGCGCATGCTGGGTGCCCATGTACTGAACTCGGATATGGACTTTGCTGCTTGTCGAATTCCATGCGAAAGCCCCCGATAAGCCAGATGGAGACAGCGCTGAGAAAGCAATAAACTTCGCTTCAACCCCAAGCCTTGGGTACTGCCCCCAGCCAGCAACAGTCAAAATTAGGGCTCCTATTAAGGGCTATATATAACCGTATCATAAGTATTATCCAACTGTTACTGAGGGGGGGGCCCAACCTAAGCCCTAATCCTAGCACTTGATTAATTTGGGCTGGGGGACGCCACCCTTCTCCCCGCCAGAATAAGGAAGCAGGGGCGCCAGATTAAAAGAATGGTTGGGGGGTTTGGATCTCTACTAAACACTGAATAGGAATGTATTCAATCCCTATTAAGAAAAAGCGGCGCAGCAGAACAAACTGAAGACTGAAGCAGCTGCCAGTCTTTTTGCAGTAGCTGTAGTTAAAACTGTTTGCTGAAATCTGCTATTGGTATGGGTTCCTCAGAAACTGTCTTTAAATGTAGTCCCTTTTCCGCATACGAAAAGCCACCCAATTGTAGCTATAGTCTTTGGAGCCTAACTCTATCCAACTTTTTCAAATGTGGTACATTTAATTAATCTAGTGCTCGGATTAAACCCTAAGCCTAGGCCCCAAACCCTAAAAGCTCCTCTTCGCACGAATGTAGCAAAAGTGGGATGTAGGACAACATGTATGTCATAGCAGAGGCGTCAGGATAGGCAAAAGGATTATTTGGCAGCATACAGGGCTTAGGCTTCAGGGCTTAGGATTTACGATGTCACCCCTAGACCTCAAACGGTGAAGAGAGCCCTCACGACCTTGAACCCCTTTTGCCTTGGCGCTACGATTCCCTTTTCCGGCGTCGTACACTGGCCCCTTGCAGCAGCTTCGCAACATCACCCCAGGACATGATTCCCAAGCCTCGCGTTTCTAACACTAAAAGTCTTTTTGAGACGCATTAAACGCCAAGTATAAGTTCATGTATTGCGGCATCGCATACCCCAAGGGCTGTTCGAATCTTTCGACCCTTGGCAAGCCCCATAGGCCTTGTAAGCCTTGTTATATTATACGAGCCTAAATAATTTCCAGTATGATCATTTGGAGATTTGCTTGAAGTACTCCATAATCTATCTAACTATATCTATATGAGCTATAGTCTAAACTCCTAGCATCCCCCTTAATCAGCCCCGTAGTAGTCCGCTACATAATCTCCTAAATAACCACCCTTTAAGGAATTTAGACTATAGCTCACATGAGGAATCCAGGACCAGAATACTGGTAATTTCTCTAGGCAGGGGGACCCCAAATGTAGACCCCAATATAGTGTAGTCCTTATTATAAGTACCGTGGAACCCCCATATTGGTAATTATTTGGTTTCCATCGTAAGCCCTTAGCATCCCATGGTATCATAAGATAAAGGGTTTAGGGTTCAGGCCCCAAAGCCCTAAGCCCTAAACCTGTTCCCGCAAGATTGGTAGGTAGAAGATGCATGATTCCTGCAGCCCGAATAGCCTTCTGTTCAGTAGCAATCATCCCCTAATTAGTAGGTAGAACCCGGGAATTGGCTTTAGTTGTCTGGGGTCCCCAACTACTGACAGTTTAGTGGTAGTCGTCCTCTACTGAGTAGGTAGAACCAATAAAGCACTAGGTAATTGGGTTACAGGTGTTCTGTGCCCCTAAACCCTAAAGCCTTGAAAAATATGTGCTTCAAAGTTCCCAAGAAGATTCATGAAGATATGCACAGGCTGTCCCCTTTTTTGCAGGACCTTGAATGCGACGACCTTAGGTCGCAAATACCTCTCCATGGGATCCTACAATTCCCAGCTACGAATTCACAAATCAAAATTAGTTGCGGCCTAAAACCCTAAACCTTAAAACCCTTAAAACCTCAAAAAATCCGAAAACGAAACACTCAAACCCTGAATCCCCAGGTCTGTGCAGAAGAATCTCGGCAACAGCATCAGGACTGAGAAGAAGGGCTCGCTTGGAGCTCCTGGGGGGTTGGGGATCACGGGCAGTTCTGGTTTAGGGTGCCCTCACACCCTAAACCCCCAAACCCTTAAACCTTAAGCCCTTAACACCAAACACTGAACCCTAAATTAGTAGCTTCCATTCTCTTTTGTCCATTTTTCCTATATAACCCCTATACAACCCCTATCTATTCCTAAACCTTAAAGAGCCAGGAGCTGGCCTCTGAAGAGCACAACCTCGAGCAGGCCCTCAAGGCCTGGGAAGGGCCAGGGAGGGAGAAGAATCATGCTTACCTTAAGGGTGAGGGTTAGGGGTTGAGGGCTTAGGGTTGAGGGGTTAGGGTTTTAGGGTTTAGGCTTTGGGGTGATAGGATTTGTGGTCCCCAATACTAGAACCTGAACGGTATTTGGGACCTACAAGCCTGTTATTCGGGTACGCGTACCGTGTAGGTGTGGGGACTACTTGGAGGGTGATTAGGTATTGACCTACTTACTCAGCTCAATTGACCCTCCAAGTAAGGTTTAGGTTTGGCTTGATGGCTCAACCGAAAACCCCAAACCCAAAACCGTACACCCAAACCCTGGTGTTGAAAGGGTTCTGGGGTCCGGTGCTTTTCGAAGCTTCGGGGGTCTTGCAGGCGTTTCGTGCTTCGGGCACTTGAGGGGCTGGGGGTTTAGGAGTTCAGCCTGAAAGGGTCTAACATAGATAGCAAAGATTCTTTATTGGGGCTTGAAAGGGATGATAAAAGGGCTGGTTAAATCATGCTATGCCAGTTTGAACCCAGGGGTTCGCGTTGATATTCCCCCTTACTGCACGGTGTTCCTGAGGGGAGTTGAGGGGAAGTGCCTTTTCCTTACCCGGACATACTTCCATGGTGAGCACATGGGGAGAACAGAGTGAGGGCTCAGGGGTTATGAGGCTCTCAGGGTTGCTTGTTTAGGGTTTTGGGTTTTGGGTTTTGGGTTTTGGATTTAGGGTTTAGCCTCACACCTACTTGTAGCAAAAACCAAAATAGCAGAAGCCAGCAGATTTTGCAATCTGTTCATGGTAAACGCTTTCGCGCTACACGCAGACTGTGTATTTTGAGCCAGGAGGTACAGTTTGCAACCGGTGCGTTTGCCAGAACGTACACAATTTACAGCCAGACGATGATGTTGCTTATTGTTTCTAAAGAGAGCTACTTAGTAGATAACTTGCAGAGTGTGAATAAAGGACTCTAAAGAAACCCAAGTGTTCTGAGAAGTATGCTGCTTGCAAAATGTACGTCCTTTGGCCACCAACAACGAAAACAAGATCATTGAGGAGGGTTGTGGGAAAGGGGCCCATGGGAGATACTATGCGTAAACAATATCAGTGAAGAGGGTTACGGAAAGGGGCCTGTGGGAGATACTATGCACAAATGATATCACTGAAGAGGGTGATGGGAAAGCAGCACTTGGGGGATACCAAACGACAAGAATGTCATAAAAGAGGGTTATGAGGGTCCTTGGGGGATACCATGCGTAAATGACATATAGAAGAAGTTTATGGAAAAGGGGCCCTCGAAGGCCGATACTTTGGGAGGGGCCTTCAGAAATATCGTTGTCTGGTGAGTCCGTAGTGTGGACGCGGAAATCGTACTTGTCCATACGGTTGACTTGAAGTAGAAACCGCCAAAGTCTGAAGGGAACTAGAATAGGATTAAGGGTTTAGGGTTGAGGTTAAACACCATTGCCCGCGATGCTACATCTCAAATCCTAAGTCTCAAGCCTATCACAGGGGCGATAGCGGAGTGACTTAAAAGGCCTGCATGCTTGAGACTTGCTTAACCCTAAACCTTCAGCTCAACATGCTGCTGCTTGCGTCTGGCATACAGATAAAATTCAACTCCTTTGTTGATAGCATTGCAGTCCTTACCAAGAAAATCGTAATTATCCCAAGCAGTAGCTACACGCCTCCCTACACCTCCAAAATCCCCAATATTAGATACTCACGGTGGTTAAAAACATCCCTTCTGGGAGCCCCAATGAAAAAGAGTTGTCAGTTGTACGTTCTTACCTGGAAGTTGTTGTTTTGCGCTATAAAAAAATACGTTCCAGTTGTAAATAGTACTTTCTAGTTGAAAACTGTTTCAATCTTGAGTGAGGGGGGGCGAGGGTGGAGGGTCAGAGGGACCTCCAAAGGCCGAGTCACAGACCTCATGAACCATGTAAGAACTCAGTGACCCCTCCATCCTGATCCTGCTTACCAGGTCCCCCTGACCCCAACCCTAAACCCTAAACAACACATTAGTTTCCATTTTCCATTCCTTACTAAGTCCCCCTGATCCTCCAAGTAAACCCCTTCGTTCCCTATAGATCCGTGTAAAAATTCAGTTTCTATTCAAACTTCCACTTTCTTGTTAATTGGATTCTCAAGTTTTCCTATACAACCTGAATACCTGCAACGAACCTCTGCCCAAACCCTAAACCCTATACCCTAAATCGACCATCCTTTCAAGAGAGGCATCCTTGACACGTTTTGAGGCCCATCCGTCTGCACTTTGGTATAAATCCGGGGCTTTGAGGGGTTTAGGGTTCCGAGGTCAGGGGGTTATGATAAACAATTGACTCATACGTGGGTTATGCAGGGGTACTTACATAGGGTGTAGGTAATGGGTTTCAGAAAATCATTGGGCAATAAAGACCTCAGGTATAGAGACTGGTGATATTAGATATTTGGCAAGACACCAGTACTTGAGTATACTAGGCCAGTGCGCGCTTTTCAGTACCAGCAGAAGGACCCTAGCTTCAAGAAATGGCCATTGATAGCCCGAAACAAGCATTGAAACATGAATGCAGGATGATTTAAGCTGCTGGCTTGGGTTAGGGAGATACCCCAAGCCCTCGACCCTAGACCTTAAAGCATGAAACTCATGTTACATCTCTGTCACTGTCACTTCTACCACCCTAAGCCTGGGAGGGAGGTCAAGTTTGGGGGCTTAATGTTTGCCATTCTCAAACTATCATGGGGGGACGCAAAGAGAGCACCATCCTCTCAAAAGGGGGCTGTACAGCAGATTTGCTTAAATCTGTGGTCCCTTATAGGGTTCTCGATGTAACGCGGCCCCTAGCCTTCAACCCTAAACCCGAAAAGGAGCCGTGGCTTAGAAAAGCCCGGGCATGGGGTTCCATGTTGGCTCGAAAGGAGGGCAGGGTTTAGGGGTGTATATAGGGGTGTATATAGGGGAGTATATAGAAGTGTATTATAGGTGTTATTAAGATCCAGACTAGGTAGGCGTTCAGACTATAGCTCAAAATGCCTCCAAGATGCCAGAAGTTTCAAGAGCTATAAGCCCTCGGGTTTAGGTTTAGGGTCTAGGGTTTGGGGTGTATAGAGTTTATAGGGCTTTTTGGGTTTAGGTTTGGGTTTGGGGTTAACTGCTTAACCTGATAATGGCAAAGCCCAATGACCCTTGAACCGCTCTCTTTGAACCCTAAACCCTGAATAGTCGTTTCCATTGTCTTTTCCATTATCCTCCTTATATAACCCCAATATACTATATATTGGATCATTTCCCCCTACAGTAATTGTTACCGCAAGGTGTAATAGGAGTTATAATAGCCCCTTAATAAGGCCCCCTTTAAGGACAGTTACTGGGTGGGGGAATGGCCCAAACTATATAGTAGTTTCCATGTTCTTTTCGATTATCCTTGCACCCGAAGCTCAAATCCCTAAACTCCCGAATCCCGAAGACTAGACACCCAAATCTCGAAACTCCCAACTTGAAATGAGAATATAGACCACACTCATTAAAGGAGGTTATATAGGGGGTTATAGGGGACTACTATGGGGGTTATTAAAGGGGATACGAGGAGTTTAGACTACAGCTCATATAACCGCTACATCATTTCTGAAGGGGCGATGATTCTTTGAACCATAAGTCTTGGGTTTGAAAACTTTGTAATTCGAACTCCCTAAAACCCTAAACCCTAGCCCTTGATTTTGAA